TGTTGTTGTTAAGTGCCCTCGAGTCATAGACGACTCATAGCAACCCCATGAATGAAAGACCTGAGCACTGTTCATAGAATTTTCGGAGGCAAGCCATTTCCGAAGTGGATGCCGCTCCTGCTTCCAAGCTTGTTTCATCGGGAAGCTCCACCAAACACTGTCCACCATGGGTAACCATTATTGCCTTTGGCACATCAGTATCACTGTTCAGCATCACAGCAACCACGAGTTACCTCTGTACAGCAACACACAGACCAGTGCCATACCACTTAGAAGAATGTTTGACAAAAAACAATTTAAACCAGGCTTGAGGGCCGCAGATTAAAATTACCCACCTCGGGCTTGGTAGCATAACTTTCTGTCCACTAGGCCAACGTAGCTCTCTCTATGTTGTCATTGTTATTGATGCTTTAACCACCGATCATGAGGGAGGGACCCCGACATAATTATTTGGAAAAATTAGCCTTTAGAAGAACACTGGCAAAATCAACTTAAAATATTACTCAGTCTCAAACTCACTGGTGTCCAGTTGGTTGTGACTTCTTTGGTTTCTGATGCTCTACGTCTTTAAGGGAGGAGACTGCCCATCTTTCTCCAATAGAGCAACTGGTAGATTGAAACTGTTAGGGATGCACTCTACACACTGTCAGTAGACATTTCTGTGTAACTTATACTTCTAGTTTCATACTACTATTTACAAAATTTTAGAATTGTTTCCTTTTACAGATGACTTAAATTTGCTCTTCACTCACTTTTGAGTCAAAACTGAGTCATAATGGACCCTCCAGCAAGTTTTCAGAGACTGTATATTGCAAAGGAGGGTTTGCTCTTTTTTCTCTGCCAGGGCACCTGGTGACCTCACACTGCCCGTCTTTGGCTTAGCAATGCAACTTCTTACTCACTACACAACCAGAGTTCCCTAATTGGTTGCTTGTTGTGTTAATTATGCTATAGAAATTTATAAACCACAATGGAAATGCAGGATTTATGTCTAGACTTTTTTGCTTTTCGTAAAAATGTTACTTATTCCACCACTTTTTAAAACGTGTTAATCTTTATAGACTCAATTATAATAAAAAAAAATAAGGCTTAAGGGGTTTTTTTTGACAAGAAACGAGTTTGGGATATGTGTAGACTCAGTATGAATAAGAACTGGTAAAACAGTTTTTCTTTCAGCATTAGTAAGTAAAAAAGTCCCATAATTTATAGTTATAAATATCTACTCTATATTTTTAAACTTGGAATGTTTTGGGTATACTGTCAATGAGAGATTCTGACCTACATGATTCTATAGGATTGCGTTGTGTTTGGTAACTGTTAAATTCAATAATACCTATCCAGCTTGGCAGACAATGTTTAGTCTCTTGAACCACTTCAATCAAATAATCCTACTTTTTGGATATAATGGGCTTTTTTGATGTGTGGTTTTGAAAGATAATTAGTACTTGAAAGTAAAATGAGTGACAGACATCTTACAACTTTAGTTTTGTCCTAGGGCTTTAGGTAAGTACTTGACAAATCACGTAAAGGGGGAAAAGAGCCATTACATTACAGCTAGCCTTGGTAATAAGTGTATGACCATGCAAAAAGATACTCTATGCCAAAAAGTATGTGAAGTGGAAAATGTCATGTATGAGGGTCATTTAAACTAGAGGTGTGAGCTTCTAGATGCTACTGTACATAGCTCCTTATCTGTCTTTAGTCTTCAAAATAGTCCAAGTTTCATTTGGTGAAGATTGTCATTTGGTGTCATTTCCTAACAAAATCAAGCCAAGTGAAACAAAACCCCAAGTCTTGTCATACATTTCTTCTTGGAAAGCGATGCATTTCTTATGATTTACACGATCCCATCTTAATTTCTTAGTTTGCAAATAAATGTGCATTCTGATCCTCTGCTAGCCTTTGAACCTGCCATCATTGCCATTCTTTTATGAGGTATACAGAAGCCATTTGCAGTGTTAAAGTTGGTTATATTTTGTAGAATTTTCCAAATTCTTTTGTCCTTTTTCTTTGTGCTATATTCAAGCGACAGTGGCTTTTCCCTGCCATGTACTCCTAAACCCCCATCTTATAAGTCTAACTACTCAGACTTTGATAGCTTTTATGTATGTGTGTAAGGTCATTTGTTGTTATGTGCTGCCGCATTGACTGACTTACAGCAACCCTGTGCATAACAGCTCTGAACTCTGCTCTGTCCTGAGCCAGTCTCACTGTCTCTGACTCACCTACCCTCTAACTCCCTTATGCGCTGTCCCTCCACCCTTCCAAGCATGATACCCTTCTCCAAAGTCTCTCCTACCTACATTTCCCAAAGTATGTGAGTCAGAGTCTCAAAATCCTTGCCTCCAAGGAGCAGCTTGGTTTTACTTTTCTCCAGGATAGAACTGTCAGTTCTCTTGATGGTCTATGGTATGTTCAAAACTCCAGCACCACAATTCAAAGGCATTAATAATTCTTCTGTCATCCTTGATCGTTATCCAGTAAAATCTTGCCAAAGATGATTAAAAACCAGCCAGAACAAGATTATTCAAAAACATTGACAAAAGAATTTCCCAAAATTCAAGCTGGATTATGAAAAGGTGGTGGTATGAGGATGAGGTCAAATGGATCCTGGCTAAAAGCAGAGAATATCAGAAAGATGTTTTACTGAGTATGCAAAGGAATTTGATTGTGTGGCTAATAACAAATTATGACTAACACTGAGATTAATGGGAATCTCAAAACACTTGTGTTAATATGAAACTTGTATGTAGACCAAGAAGCAGTTGTCCAGACAGAACATGCATGATTTAAAATCTGAAAAGGAGTGAATCAGGGTGAATCTTTTCTCCATACCTATTTAATCTGTGAGTCTTCCTTCAGTCCTGATGCCACATTCTTTTCATTAGAGTCCAGTTTCTGGAATGCTTTGCTCACCATACAGATTTATTAGGTCTCTGTGGCTTCTTGCTGCCTGGGCATGGTGGCCCGCGTGCACAAGTAATCGCAAGGTTTTTTTTTGGTCCTGTGCTTTTTTGGACTTATGTTTGATGTTTCGTATTGCTCTTCCCCCCCAGGAGTGAGACCCTTGAGTCTTGGCTTAGGGTTTAAGGTGGGTGGGGTGGGGGGAGCTTATACCAACCAAGTCTTACCCCCACCCTGATGTCAGCCTCATTCTACAACAGTGGAGTCAGCCAGTTTTTAAAGGCAATTAATCACTGGGGAGAAGATTGCCCGTTCTTCTCCCATGGAGCAGCTGGTGGATTCAAGTAATGTGCCTTTGGAATTATAGTGCAGTTTCTTACCACTCAGAGGTCCCATTACACAGTAAGGGATTGATTAACTCATTCATTGCAGTCAACTCAGAATCAACCCATAGTTAACCCTCCAGGGGATTTTAGGAAGCTTTAAGTCATGGGAGAGATTGCCCCTCTTTCTCCTGAGATGGTGGATTTGAACCACTGTTTTGTTACCAGCACAGTGCTCTACAGACTACACCACCAGCCAGTGCAAGGGATTGATTATACATTGTTATTAGTTAACTACATTAAGAAATTAGCATTATAAGACAGAATACCTGTGAATGAGTGTACGGAAAGCTAATAATGATTTGTAAATCTTCAAAGAAAAAGGAAAAGATAAAAATCTAGGATTATTTACTTTAAAAGTAATACTTCTAGAAATTGCTGTGAAAGACCAAAATATAGTAATGATGCTTGAAATTAAATGTAAGTAGTTTTTATAGCACTATCAGGAAAAATTGACTAGATGAATAGACGCACTGGCTGCAAGAATGGGTGTAAGCCCAGGGGAGATTATAAGGCTGGCATAGGATTGGGCATCATTTTATCCTGTTGTACGTGGGTTACTATGAGTTGCAGCCAGTGGGATGGCACCTAACCATAATAACGATGTCTAGTATTTTTAGTTTTTTCCCTGAGAAACCATGCTGCTTTTCAATTAGTGCTTCTTTTAGTAGATATTGATGAGGAACATAGGCAAATTATTTTGAGATGGTAAGCATTTTTTTTGTTTTAACTTATGCCAGCTATTTTAGAATTGCTAGACTATAGTAATCTGTCTTCTGTATTTTTACTAGCTATTTTACAGTATACTTAGACATCAGTATTCACATTTAGGAAGAGATGGTACTATATTATTTATGTTCCTAGCTATTTTTTTTTTGTTAAGTACTGTCAAGTTGGAACTGGTTCACATCTGACCCTTCAGCAGAATTTCAGAGGTAGTTAATGGCATGGGAGGAGATTTCCCATGTGAAAATTAGCTGTAGCATGTAATAAGTCAGTGTTGGTTTGCATTTAATGAATTCTTTTCTCCAGTGTAGAAATTAAAAACTTTCCTTAAACCACAAGGTAAAGGTAAATAATCCAATAGAAAAATGGGCACAGGATATGAACACACACTTCACCAGAGAAGACATTCAGATGGCTAACAAGCACATGAAGAAATGTTCAAAATCCCAAGCTCTAAGAGAGATGCAAATTTTAACAGCTTTGAGATACCATCTCACCCCAGTAAGAATAGCAAAACAGAACAGCAAGCAACAAATGCTGGTGAGGTTGTGGAGAAACTGGAACCCATATTCACTGTTGGTGGGAGTGTACATAGGTGTAACCACTGTGGAAGGTGGTATGGCACTTTCTCAAAAAGATGCAAATGGAGATACCATTTGACCCAGCAATTCCACTACAGGGAATATACCCCAAAGAGACCATAACTGACATCCAAGCAGATATATGCACACCCATGTTTATCGCGGCTTTGTTCACAATAGCAAGGAGTTGGAAACAACCCAAGTGCCCACCAACAAACGAATGGCTAGAGAAGCTGTGGTATATTCACACAGTGGAATACTATGTTGCATTGAA